AGAGAAACAGAGAAGATCACTTAGAGCTAAAAAGCCAACACAAAAATGAACAGAGACCTGTTAAAATGTACTCTAACAATAGGTTGAACTAACCTTCCAATGTTAGTATTACATGGGGATACATTACATGTAAAGGGGGAAGATGTGTAGATAGCTTTAAAAGTGTTATGTATAAGTTGTTACATTGGCCTGGGGATTGTAGGAGGGAACAGCAGATCAGTAGACTAAGAAAGCTCTCTGAATAAACAAGCTTTATTGTTTTATACGTTTAACTCCTTGGTCTTTTGAGAATAACACAGAGGCTACTCTCTGAGTACCCAAAAAATCCTAGGTGGTACTGTCCAGCATCCAGAAAGTCATAGGTGGTACTGTCCACAGCGTTATCTTGACTATTTATCCATCCTAGGGTATAGTCAAAGGATCAAGCTACAATGAGTTACAATGAATTAACAGGGTAGTGATTTTCGATCAATGTGCTCAATTAAGGTGCTCAATCAGCACCCTGGAGCGCTACCAGATTCTTTTATGGGTGATGCAGGGCGCCACACTATATTAACACTGTTAAATGTGCAGTGATGTTCAAATAGTTTGGGAGTCAACCAGTTTCTTTGAAACAGTAAAAAGTCCCTGTATATTGGCTCTATCAAAGGTCTTTGTCAGATCAGTGAAGGCTATGTACAGTGTTATTCATTTTTCTCCATTTTCTCTACACTTCTCTTGCAGTTGCTTGACCAAAAATATTATATCAATGGTGGAGCATCCTGAGCAAAAACTATGTTGACTTTCAGGATAGATTCTTTCACCAAGAGATTTCATCCTAGGGAGCATAATGCAAGTGACAACAGTGTTCAAGAGGAAGATACATCTATAGTTGTCATAGTTGCTTCTATTATCCCCTTTGTTTTTTGTATAATTGTACAAATTGAGCATCTCTGAAATGTTATGGTGCCATTTCCTCTTTCCAACAGAGCACTATAGCTTCATGGAGCTTTCAAAGTAATTAGTCATTAACACATCTGTAGATTTCAGCAGGCAAACAGTCACTGCCAGTCATTGCCAGATACCTTGTTCCTGGAAATAGATTTAATGGCTTTCTGCAAATCTTTTAAGGTAGGCTCATTGTCCAAATCCAACACAACTTCAAACTGTGGTAATCCTACAAGCTCTTTGAGAACTGGTTTATCCAAAGAACAAAATGAGCCAAGTATAATTTTATGTCCACAGTAACCTTTAGACTTTGAGTAAGCCTTCAGTCAGCAATCACAAGCTGTGACTTTTTTGGATTTTGTAACTAAGCAAAGCTAGGGGGTCAAAACTTGGATGGGAAATCTGTGTCACCAAAAAACAAATAGGGGTGATGCAGTGGGTGATGCTCTCATCATGACATTTATGAGCAATGTTCAACTCTAGATAACATCTTTCAGATCAGATAAGAAATAATTCTTGACAATAGGACATGAACAATTTCTTAGCACTTTACACAACAAAAGTTTGTTGATCTTGTATCCTGGCCCAGTGCCAACTTGAACAACTGTGATCTGCCTCCCTAAAAGTTTATCTTTAATTTCAACTGGATGTAGTTTCTTCACTTCTCATCCTAAATTACTGTATAGCATTGCTGTGAGCTCTTAAACAGCCCTTCCTGGGCCTATGTTGTTATATTTGGGAACTGGGCTGCTACATAACTGTGGAAAGCACCTGAGTGACATGTCCAATGCAGGTTGCTAAAAAGGCAGCAACTTATTTACGAAATCATATTTTACACAGAGAACTGGAGTTATTAGAGGATATTTCATTTTTAAGTCATTTCATTCACATCCTTTTTATTCTCCCACTAGAATGTCCTCATATTTTGGTACCTAAGCTAAAGAACTTACCAGGTAACCTCAAGCAGCTGCAGAAAGGAATAACAAAAGACTAGCAAGCCATTTCCCTTGGCTCCCATTTGCTGAGTACATGCTAATTATATCCACTACTTACAGCATCTAGCTTATTGATTTGAGAAATTCTGAACTCAGATCCATCTTTAAGAGCACTTTATGTAAAGAGCTGAGTGGCCTATGAAGGTGAAAATAATACTCTTATCCCACTGCTATGGGCCATTTATTTCCCATCCAAACACGTCTTTTGTTTTTCACTTCAAATCAGCAACAGTAAGTGCATAAGACCTGTATTTTTAATTGTATATTTCCCTAGTTTTCCTGTGCTTCTTTTTAATGTCACACCCCACCATCTTCAAGTGGATACCACTCAGCCCATTTCATGAGAAAGAAGTAAAATCTCCATGCTTGTATTTTGTTCTTTGGTGGTAGAGTCGGGTGGGGGAGTTCTGCTGTTATCATTTCACTATCTCCTTGAATGACAGAGGCCAAGCCAACCAAAGCCATCTGTCAGCATAACTGTGTGCAGGGTAGGGGTGAGTGGGGGTTGATCCTTTCACACCCCAGCATAGGTATGTAGCCAACGTAGATATACAGGCAAAATTTGTAGAACCTTGGACACGCTTGGACACACTTGCATTTGATTTCATCTTGGACACACCTGATCATTTTTTTCTGAATAGTTACAAGATGTAGATGTACAATACTGAGTTTCCAGCTCTTTTTTTTTTTTTTGGCCAAGTAATTAGAATGGCTTAGTAAACAGTATGTTGTCCTGCAGATCATCTTGTAGTTGAGTCTTATTACAAAGAATTATTTTGAATGTGGCACTTAGCCATCTTTATGCTTTAGAAAAGCTGGTTAATTGATCCACTGTTTTATTCAGTGAACATAAGATGGTCTACAGAGAACCGTGTAGTCAGAGGAAAGCCAGTCAATCACCATAGGGTTCATTTTCAGACAAGCACAGACCTGTGTAACTCCAAGGCTGAAAGCCAGTATTCAGTTCCACTCCCAGAAAAGTCAACGAAACCAATTCTTAGTTAAATGATTTCATCACTGGATCAAATGCTGAGTTACTGGCCATCATATAATAATCACAGGCATCATCCAATACAGCACAGAAACCATAGCATTCTTGTACAGCAGAGCTTCGGGCCCAGTCCAGACAGGCACTGAATCCCTCCTGTGATAAAAAGCAATCAGATAAATCCAGAGTCAGATTAAATTGAGTAAGTGCTGAAAAGCCTTGTTATGTAATAAAGCTATTCTACCATAACCAAGATAAACCATCACAGAATGGTATTCACAATTGCAACTATACTCCAGATCCAGAGATGCCATGAAGTCTGCCAGTGACCTGATTGTTGCTAATCCATTTTATGTGGGAGGTGCTAAAACACTATGGTACTGGGCCTCAAAACTAAAACGAGATGGATAGAAGGGACGAGAATTAGTGTGTGCAAGGAGTGCTAAACAGCTTGCAGAATCAGGCCATGGAGTTTAGGCTTGAGTTGGAGTAATTAAAACTTCTTGTTCTTTTTTCTCTTCCTTGCCCCCAAGTCCCCAAATCTGATATATTTAAGAAATCATTTTTATTAAATTGCATCCCATTCTTTTCTGTTTCACAGCTTATCAGTACAGGGATTGGTGACAGCACAGAAACAACCTTGAGAAATGTACTCCAGATATTTTTGCTTGTTCTGCATGTGGCTTTTTCTTCCAACTCAAAGGTAAGTTTTCTTATGATGCAATTGCCTGAGTTGTTATTGATAACTGTGAGCATTTCATGGTCCAGATTACAGCTCCCCTTCCATAGATCTCAGGAGAGCAGGCTGGGTCATCCCAAGGGATAGTATAGCCTGCACAGTTCTCTTAGGCATGGTGACACTGCCCTTCCTTACCTGGTCAAGCCCTAGATAGATTATAGTTTTGTATAACTTTCACTAGGAAATCTGAAACCATCACTTAAAGTTAGGAAGGTCTGTGAACTTAACTTATGCTCAGTTTCCAGGGAGGGTCTAATAATATATAATAACATAAAATGTGCTTTGAGACTTTGGGTTCTTCTCAGATGTTAAACTCATAGGAAGCTTCAGGGGGAATGAAACCCATCCATATAAGAATTGAAGATAAAGCTCCACTGAAACTTCAGGAACCAAACTGCTGCACTTCACGCTGCTTACCCCTGGGTGTCCTTTGGCACTGAGAGTATTTTCATGCCGTGCGTGTTGCAATTTATACCTTTGTAATGGGATGTAGAATACCATCAAACCAGAATTAGCCGCTCACAAATGCTGCTGGTAACCTGTCACATCCATGTTGCAGAAGTGTAATTGTACACATATAAGGCCACCCACTTACACTGAGACATTAAAGCATGGTGGAATGTGACCTAGCTGTGCCTGATTGGCTGGGTATAGATAGTTATTAGGACTGTGCAAAGCTTTGATCGCTGATTCAATACAGAGGAGATCTGGCCCAATTCGGCAGCCTCCAAATAGATTCAAAGAGATTTGGAGAGATTCAATGATTTGGCCATAGATGCAGCTTTATATGGTTTTTCTATGTACCTTGACATACCAGGCATGGCTCGTGAATGCTGAGACGATGAGGCAGATGAAGCATCCCACAGTAGCATGGGGGGGTCCCCTACACTCTCAGCGGTGGACCCCCCCCACCCGCTGGCTCAGAGACTGGTTCCTCCTGGGTCCGGAGGGGCACCCAAGGTCCCCCCATGGCCAATTGCTGAGCCAGAGGGACACAGAGGCGGGGGGCGCACACTCCCCAGGGGGCCCAAGAGTGGACCGAAAGTACTTCTGGTCCACTTCCAGGTCCACCACTGAGCAGAGGACCCCCCCCATGGGATGCTTCATCTGCCCCACCATCTCAGCCCCCTCTGTCCCCACAAGCCGCACCTAGTACCTCGAGGTATGTAGAGAAAAAAAAATAAAGCTGTGTCTATGGCCGAATTGCTGATTCTCTGAATCAGAATTCAATCTTCAGATTCAGCTGAATCAAATCACGACAGTGATCCAGATCAGTGAATCAAATCACTGTCCCCCAAATTGGGCTAAATCCAAATCTGATCGAATACTGCCCGCTTCACACACCGCTAATGGTTATCTGTTGACAATATTTTTCTGACCCTTTTCACCTGAGTGTCTGGCATGCACTATTGATTTATCTTCATAGCCCCCATGTCAGATTTATTGCCTCCTACAGAATGCCGAATTTGACATCAACAGCAACCATAGATCTGAACCAAAACTTTACATCTGAAATCCTCTGGACTAAGAAGTTTGACTTGATTCCCTTGTCTGGCTATTGAACCTTAGATCCATTTCTGATCACACAGCCACAGGATGAAATGCAGCAGCTTGCCTTAGCCAGTGTTACTTGCTTGGCTCAATGCTAAGAAGCCCTGGCATTGGTTGCTATGTGCCCCTCCCAAACCAATTTTTCCAGAGGCTTAAGGTAATGTTCCTTTTTTACTGCTGATATCAGCTGCAGGCACACTCTGGCTGACACTGGAAGTTTGCCACTAAATAATAGCAAGTAAAGTAGAAAACATTTATAGGAAACTAGTAAACAGGAGGATCTGATGGCTTGAAGCACAGCTTAATATACTCATAAAGTGACAGTGGAAAGAAAAAAAAGGTGTATTAATGTATGTGTTTCATAATGGAGGATGCAGTTTTTGATGCTGAAGTTAAAAGGCACTGCCTAGGATGCCATTCCATTTGCTCTATAGCAGGCATTCTTAGAAATGTCTAAATTACGCTAAATGCTAAGAAGTCAAACCCTCTGCTCCAAATGACTGGGGAGGCCACATTATCAATAAAACGACTGCAATACAACTAGCTTCACTTAAGTTTGCTAGAGGGCAAGAGATCTGCAGAGGACATCAGGTGCTGACAAAGCCTGAGTCACTTAGTAAACTCGCTAATATGTTAGAACAGCTATAGAAAAGCTTAGCACTTAACCGGCCTGTAGATGACACAAAGGAATTGCTTGAGTCCTCTTCAGCATTCTGACTTCTACCTGCCCTACGTTTTTATGCTGCTATCCATCTATGCCCCAAGAATAGCCAACTGGTTAGCACACTAACCTAAGGTAACCTAGGGTAAAGTCCCTGCTCTGTCTAGAGTTAGTATTTAACGTTGGTGTCCCACAGGACAAGTGAGTTGGGTTTCCCTCTGGAGTTGGGTCTCCTTCTCTGTGTAGTATATCACGTTCTGTGAAACATTCACAGCAATAGCAGAGTCCTTAGTGAACCTCATGAGGAGTGAAGCAACCCTTCCTTTTCAGGAACTGAAGGTAGGATCTGAAGCAGATCAGACCTATGATGTCATTGTAGGTCTTATTGCCAGCCAAAGGTCACCAATATAAAAAACCCCAACAGATGATCACCCAAATCTATTCAATATTCTTTTTTTATTTAATACTTATTCCTGCATAGAAATGCAATGAGACACCACAGGTTTACCTAGTCTGGCTCATATTTTCACAGCTGTAAAATGTCTCTGAGATCCTTCACTCTGCAGAGTACAAGAGTTTTTACTTCATACATAGGAGCACACGTCATTGTGAAAGCATTACCTTAAGACATCATCCCTTTCTGCAATTTTCCCACTGAAAATGAAGTGCAGTTCAAGATCTGTCTTCAATCTTTCTTCGTTGGCCCTGGCTACTGAAGAGATCATCTCTCTCCCTCTAGCCATGGTCTCCTATGACAGCTATATTGCACTTGAATTAAGAAACTATAGATAACTAAGAATTTAAGACCAAGCAAGTCCTGTAGGGAGAAAACATAGGCATGTTGTATATAGATAGGGGTAAAGTGCCTAGTCCTGAAAGACTCTGAGCATAAGAAGTCAACAGGATGGGTTCCCATAACATGGCTAGGAGACATTTTCCCAGTTGAACCAAGCCAATTCCCATCTGTCCCAGAAGAGAAAAGAACAGCCGCCACCACCCTCTGATAGAGTTAAATGAAGCCCTAACGAATAGTGCCCTTTTCATGCTAAAATACGCTTCCACATTCAGAGAGAGGTAGTTATCCATGTTAGCCTGAAGTCAAACAGAAGGCAGGGCAAGGTAGCACCTTATGAACTAACTCATTTAGAGAGACATGAGCTTTCATACGTATCAGCCTTCTTCATCAGATGCATGGCATCTGTAAGTAGCATACAGTAATGATCACAACAGCTAATATCATGAAATAGTATAGATCCTACATTGAAATATGTCACATGATAACAGATGGCCATGACCTTTAAATACATTTGGGCCTGTATCGGTATATGTATAACAAATCCATAACAAAATTATGATTAAATATTTTTAGGCCTCAGATTTGTCAGATCCTCTGCAGTCTTTAAGTGCCCAATTTATCCTGACAAAGTAGCTATAGCCTACAAAAACTCTTGCCTCTTACAACAAGTTTGGCACCTTATACACAACCTTTCACATTTGGGTCATGAAAGACACCCAGCTCTTGTCACCAAGGCACAAAGTGAAAAGGACCTGTTGATTCTTTTTATAAGTTACAAGCTCTTTGTGGCAGAGACCATCTTTCTATTCTTGTACAGAACCTGGCATCAAGGGACGCTGGTCTCTGACTGATATGCTACTACCTGCAAACCAGTAAAATATTGGAGAAATTTATTACAGTTTAGAGAGATGCTCATATACTATGGTCTTGGCCTTTAGTCTAAGAACCTGAATCATCATTAAAAAGCCATGAGCAAAATGTAGCTGTCAATATGTGACTGGTTACTGGCTCATAATGAGGTTTTCTTTAGTAGTATCAACTGTTCTTCACCAAAACCATGGCAAAACGGTTAAACTTGGAGTTGTTTCATTAATGTGCTGATTCGCCCCAGTCTACCTCTTCCACACAAATTAAACAGCAGTATCAAGTGTGACTGCCTTCAGCAATGTCAAAATTAGTGGTTTTTTGGAGTTCCTGTTTGATTGTTTATATATGTGCAAATGACAGGGTTTCAGCTACACAGAAAATGTGCCCAGCATGTCCTGCCGCATGTAACAAGACCTATTTGTATTTTAGAAGGTGCACGCTGGGTCAAAAGACTGACGGTGACTTGCACAGCAGTGACACAACATCCCTCCCTGGCTTTGAGAACCTCACAATGGGATACAACAAATATCTCAGGCCATACTTTGGTGGTATGTCAGATGAACATTTAATCTCTGATAATGGAAAGGTTATAAACTGTTCTCCATAACAGCTATGGCCAGGACAAGAAGTAGTGGCCTTCAATTGCAACAAAGTACATTTAGGTTGGATATCACAGGAAAAAATGTTATAACTGTAAGGACATCTAAGAACTGGTAGAGATTAACTAGGGAGGTTGTGGAATCTCCCTCAAAGATGGTTTATAAAAGAAGGTTAGATATCTGTCATGAATGGTTCAACGAGTTGAACTAGTTATAGTTGATCCTGCTTTAGGGAAGGGAACTTGAGGTCTCTTTCAGCCCTATTTTCTAATATTCTACAAAAGGAGGTATATAGTCAGTAATGTTTATGTAGAAGGAATAAATGTTGCATGGGTTTTGTTTAGCATGAACCTGTTTGAATTTTACCAGTTTACCTGTTTACATTAGCCTGTACCTGCCTTCATTTAAACCCATCCAACTCTGTTTTATATTTCTATTTAACTGGAAATTACTCCAAGAGAAACTGTGGCATAAAGAACATGAAGCTCAGAAGTTTCAGTACCTCAGCATAAGGTCTGGCAAATGGAATATCCTGGGCTAAATTCTGCTTTGTCAATACCATGGCATCCCTTTGCTTAGAATTTGCCCCTGTGGTGTGTTTTTCTTAATTGGCATCAGTTTTAGAAGTATCATTCCGGGTGCAAATGAACTCAGCTGGGTTCCTTGGCTAGTTGAACAGTTGCATTTTTCTTTTTGCAAAACTCTTTCCTGTTTAACCCCAGTCTCTGGGGAACTTTTTTCCATTGTGGAACTGAATTGGTTAATTTTTAATGAGCTGTCTGTAGAGTTTGAGCTGTCTGCCTTAGAGTTTGAGAAAAAAATTAGAAACAAAAAATCACAACTAGCTCCTATTATAACTTTTTATGTCTCATAATATTATTAGGCTTGCTAACATTTTTTAGCTTATCCTTCTTTTATTCTTCCATCTCTGGTGATAAATCTCTGATACAATGAAATAACATGCAGTAATGATTGCAATGTCTGATACCAAGTAATAGGACAAATTCTTCATTGAAATATGTCACATGGGCACACGGCTACAAGCTACAAGACAGAATTTTAAATGCATTTGTGCCTGTCAGCATGTAGATAACAAATCCATAACAAATTGGGTAAAATTTTTAGGATTTAGGTTCCTAAGTACCTACAGTTGAGATCCTCTGCAATACTTAGGTGCCTACACCTCATTCATTTCAATAGGAAGAAAATCCCTGAATGTCTTTGAGGTACTGTTCCTAAATAACTGCTGAACATGGGTTCTAGGTCACCTAAGTCCTTTTGAAAGTTTTACATTTTATAAAGTCTCGTTAGACAAGTGGAGATACAGATTGTAGATAACTAAGAATTTAAGACCAAGCAAGTCCTGGAGGGAGAAAACATAGGCATGTTGTATATAGATAGGGGTAGAGTGCCTAGTCCTGAAAGACTCTGAGCATAAAAAAATCCTGCTGATTTTCTGGTGCTCAACATTGCTCAGGATTATGTCCCCACTCTCTAGGGCCCAGTTTTGTAGGCCTTCACAAAACTTACAGCAAAGCCAATGGATGAGAAGTAACACCTATGTTAAGGAAAGTTTCTGATCTGATGAATAAAATAATGATCGCTTTCATAATGATATTATGAAGAAAATAATCAGATCTATTAATGAATCATTTTAAAGTAATCCTCTTATTTAAAAAGAAATAAAACAAAAAGTGGGGGAGCTGTTTTATAGTGACCAGCTGTCATCTCCTAGGGTAGAGCTGCCCTCTTGTGGTGAATTTTAGGTTTAATTCTAGAAAAGATCAGTTGCCCTTCCAAGATATGTGACCTTGCTGTTAATATAAAAGAGTGTGTGTGTGTGTCTGTGTGTGTGTGTGTGTGTGTGTTTGAGAGAGAGAGAGAGAGAGAGAGAGAGAGAGAGAGAGAGAGTAACAGATAACTGGACTGGATGAAAGGGAGTGTTTTACCTCAATTTTGTCCCAGGAGAAAGGCAGAGAGAGAAGCTTTCCAAGGCTGGGACCTGGCAAAGTTCCCTGTAACTTTGTCTCCCTTTGTCCTCTGTATGTGTGCAGTTAGAAGGAAGAACAAGCTGAATACCACATTATTAAAAAAAACAAAACATTACGTCTCATGGCAAACAGTAGCTCACGGGAACACTGTGTTTGTTCACTGTAAAAGGTTTCCTTAGATCCTCCTTGGCTGGCATTTGGTGGCGAATGAGGAGGAAATCGGCACTCCAGAAGGAGGAAAGGGCCCGCAGCACTGGTCTCCATGCTAACTCCAAGCAGTCATTTTCAGTTAATAGTACTGTTTACTTGAAAGTAATAGCAGTTGATTGGAGCTGCAAAGGGTGAGATACTCGAATCTCTTACAGATCCCTAAATTATCAGGTTTTATGCAGGTATACAAATAATCGTAAAAGGTAAAATCCCAACTTTCTGCACTGAGGGACAGAAGGAAGCACCAGCAGAGCTCTTCCTGAGTCCAGTGCAGCAGTCAGAGAGAAGTAAAGCCAGGACTCCTCCACTGTGTTGCATTCAGGACAGGCTGTGTGAATTGGGGTCCTCATAGCTATTCATAGCTAGCTGCCTCTAGTTCTTTCTCACCCTGGGTGCACCGTCATGAGACACTTACTGCAGTGCACAGTAGTATATTAGCATCAAGGTCATATATCTTGGAAGGGTAACTGATCTTTTCTAGAATTAAACCTAAAATTCACTCTGGGTGTGTCTACACAAGACCCTGTGGGCATGAACCGTGATGCAACACTACTGCCCAGTAGTAACAAGCTACTGCACAGTGTCACTAGGCAACCATGCCAGGATGCTAGTACTTGGTTATGTGAGTACTAAACAACTAACAACTGTGCAGTGGCGGCTTGTATAGATGCCCCCTCTGTGACTCTTGGTAAATCACTTAATCTCCCCATTATTCAGTTTTCTGAGTCTGAGAAATGAGGATGAAGCTGGTCATTCTTACCTACTTCTGCAGAATGCTCTGAAATGTATCCATGAAAAGTACCATTAAGCAGCTAAGCATTCATACCATTACATGTGTGTGAGCACATTCCTAGAGAGCCACTGCCTGCATGGAAGTTCCTCTGCTCAGGGTCAGACAACCACATTTAAAATCAGGATGAAACTACCCCACGGTCAAGACTGGCATGGACAGTGAGGGTTTTGCCTTCCTCTGTAGGCAGGGTGTGATCCTCTTCTTTGGATCTCTCAAGTGTTTTTAGGAGACTATTTCCTGCCCTAGTGGTAGCAGGACATTAACAGAGCCCTCATCCTCCTGGTTTCCCTGTGGCAGGTTAGAGGGTTGGTATTTGAGGGCAATGTACCTGATCTTTTCGCAACAGAGTTGTTTGCGTTTAGCTAGATAGGGATTAACCTGCCTTAAGACAGGGCCTGGACTAGAAGACCTCCTGAGATCCCTTCAAGCCCTACTTTTCTATTATTCTGTGGTGGCTCATGCATACAGCCAACATTATTGCATCTTAAGATTTCCCCTGCTGAGGCTACCAAAGACTTCTATCTGCAGCCCAGACGTAAGCTTTTGATTGGATTTTGAAATCTCTTGCTCACGTCTGGTCTAGGTTTTGGGTCAGTGGCAACCAGGGATCACCACATATGTAAAATTAGAATAGGGCCAATGAAATTCCATGCAGGACTGAGGGCCCATTACTTTAATTGGATGCCCAAAAGCTTTCTATTGCTTTCACTTTTTGCTTCTTTCTAATCTCAGCTTTTCCTTCCCTCTCCAGGAGACCCTGTTCAAATAGCAATGAGCCTGGACATTGCAAGTATTTCTAGTATTTCAGAGAGTGACATGGTAAGTGATATAATCTGAATTAAATATAGGGGTGAATGAGGTCAGCTGAATGTTGCTGCCCTGAAGGGGATCTGACCTTGAGGCAGCAGAGTTCAGGGCCAACATACTCAAAAGTGATTAGAGATCTTGCATGCCTGTTCTTGAGTGCTCATTGTGACTCAGCCACAGACTTCAGGTGAGTCTTTTGGGCCTAGATCCATAGAGGAAATGTGACCTAGTGATGCTCACCTCATTATTTCACTCATTGCCACACCTAATCTTTAGGTGTCTGTCTCTACAAGTGAAATTCACAAACTCAGGTAAAGTGCTTAGGAACAGGATTCATGAGAGCCAGACCACTGATGCAAGGTGTTTAAGATAGCCAACAGGTAATGCCAAAGAGTATGATACATCAAAAATCCCCCATTACTCTCAGACAGAAGTGCCTAACTCTCAGCTAGGTTTCTTTGTGAGACCAGGATTCACAGGCATAATGTCTTTGGGACCAACATTATAGAATGGGTGGAAAGTGGGTCTCTCTCAAAGACACACACAGACACTGTGCCCAATCTATAGCCTGATAATTAGGATACTGGAAAGTAGATGCGGGTTTAAACCCTCTCCAGCTGAGGAAGGCATTGGACCCAGTTCTCCCATTTCATTGATGAGTGTTCTGACCACTGAGTTGTCCCATAGAAGGTGAGTGGTGGCAGTATTACCACCCTGTTTCTGAATGAAAATCGTCATGGCTGGTGTGTTTATTGTTCAACTCAGTACTGCTGGTGTGTGTTAGGTGAGCACACCTACCAGATATGGGACTCAAGTGGGAGGATACCTAGTTAACAGGTACTGAGAGGCCTTAAGCATGAGATCAATGTCTGGATAGTCAGCAGTCAAGATGGAATGAGCAGTAGTGGAACTTAAGGGACTGTAGTAACTTTACTGGCAAAAAATTAAACAACTGGAGAGGGTGTTTGTGCATGAGATTATGGGAAGTACATTTCTAAATTCCATATCACTGTAGTTCAGACATACCCCCTACTACCTTCATGTCTCAGCTCATCAACTTCAAGGAGATTGTGGGCATGTCTACATATGCCCCTGACTGTGCAGTTGATACTGTGCAGTCATTTAGTATTTGCTTTAGCTAGTACTGCACAGTCCCAGCAGCACACAGATCCTTTTCAACCCTACTGTGCAATACCAACGAGCTACTGTGCAGTAGCTCATTGCTACTGAGCAGCAGTAGTGACATCACAGTTAGTGCCTGTAGCAATGAGCAAAGTTACGTCACTGTAGCAATAAGCTACATCACCTTAGCTCATCACTCCAGCAACATAGTGTCTCATGTAGACACACCCTGTAAGAACAAAATGTATTATTAGCTATGAAATTCTCAGAGAGTGAGGTAATAAAAGCCTATCATTTCTAAGCTAAACAGGGATGGCAAAAAGGGCTTGATTGAGGCTCATCCATTTTTTTAACCCAAGTCCCTTTGAGATGACTCAGGTTGGCTGTCCAAAATGATGGCGCCCAAAACTGTGATTTTTGGACAACACCCCCTTTGGACACCAAGCTTTGAACACTTCCTCCCCCACACTTTGTAGCATTTAATCTCACTTTCCCTTTCCCTTGAAGCATCCCCTCTAGCTCATTTAGAAATGGCATTGCACATTCTTCTAGAAGAAGCCAACTCCAATTCTTTTCTGCTTAGAGATGATAGGGGAGTAAAGTGGGTTAAAGCTGAGCAGTCTCTGGAGACCAGAGGGCTTGCAAGACTGCCATCCCTAGGGAAAATAGAAAAGGAAACTAACCAGGATGAATTTTCCTTATGCAAACTTTTCTGATCCATTCCTATTATATCAAAGGCTGAGAAACATTTTTTTCCATGAGTTTATTTGCTGAAAAGTGCACTTGAGGGTCAACCAAAACTATTCCTTTCTGAGATTTTTAAACAAGCAGTTTGACTTTCTGTTTTGAAATTTGGGTTCCTTTAATTTTTAATAAGGTTCTCAACCTATGCCCCTGAACCCCCTCCACTCCTCCTTCACCACCACCATGATAAATAAAGTATATCATTGGACATTCTTTTTTCTGGTTTTTCAGTTTGGCCACTGAACCAAAAAAAATCAATTATTTGCACAGCTCTAATTAAAGGCCCTTGTAAAATAGCCCCATATTACAGTTGTTTTCTCTTCACCGTCCTGCCCACATTCCCCTGGTGTCAAAAAGAACATTACAGAGGCATGCTCTATAGCTAGATAAATAATTGAAATGACCCCAAGGTTTTCACCTTCATCATCAGTATTAATAATTCAGTGCACAGAAACTCATAGAAGTGCATCATTTCATTCACTTAAGTGGTGAAATAGGACATCTTTTTTTTCTCCTAACAATTTGGGCATAAAATTTGAAGAGTAAAGATAATATGATGATATCTGATATTTATTTGGCACCGTTTACACCAAAACACATCAAAAATTTTATACTAAATCATAAGGCATTGCTCCCCAACCACAGAAATGCAGCCACATCTTGTCTGTAGCATGGTAGCAGCTTAATGCTGCACAGCACTGCTACACAACAGTTTTTGTTGGCCCATAACTACCAACTCCAGACCAGAACTTAGAGAGAACCTTTGCAGAAATACCAGACCTCACAAACTGCATTTAACTGGGGATTAATTAAGGGTCCTATCTGTCCAGAAGGCTCAGCAAAGACTTACTTTGTATTCCTTACACCTGAGCACAGCTTCTTGCTTTGTCAGAGGGCAATATAAGAATATTTCAACCAACCTGAAACATCTGGGGACTTTCAGGCTAGATAGCAAAGCCAAGATGAACTATGACTGGAAACTGTGATTAAATTTCCTGCTCTTGCAAGGCTTTGGAGTTTTTCATCTACCTACATTTTTTACCTAAACTGAAACCTTTGCTCACCAGACTAAAACTACCATTACTACTGAGTTATGTAGCCCTTCCAAAGAACAGCATTATTCTACTCACCACCATTGGCCCCTCTCTGTAGCAGTTGGGAGGTAATCTTTTTGGCAGGCTTGCCACAAATTAGTCCCACACCCTCCATGAGTACCAATCTGATGCTCTTCACCTGGAAAATCTACTGTTCTATTTTCTGTTCCCTGCTCTGTGTTCTCTGTCTAATCTGCTGCCCTACTTTTTGCTCCCTGCCCTATCTGCCACTGTATTGTCTGTCCCCTCACCAATCTGCCAGGTGCCACACACACTCTGCCTGTGTCTCCGTTCTATATTTTGTATATATTGCACAATACCCTTTAGTGTCATAAACAAATGATGGACTTCCAGTAGAGTGAATAGTTTAAATTCAGGTGACTACACTGTTTATTGAACTTTAAGTATTGTTGTAAGACTAATTAAGTTGCAGTTGCTTATCTGCTTTCCCTAATTTTGGCTATCTGTATGTTTCATGATCATATATCTATATGGTACCTACACCATTTTGGAAGAAATATCATGGCTGAATTTTAATACGAAATTGATTTCACGTGTGGCCTGGGGTAATCCAATCAACCTTTCTGTTTTACCAGCTGCAAAACGGGGCTGTGATACTTACTGACTCCTTGAACAGTTTAAGGTTTTGGTGAAAAGCATAATAGCAATCTAAGTAGTATGGTAGTATGTTATTACCTACTATTTTCAAAGAAAACATTCAGGGATATCAGTAAGAGAAATAAGTTATGCAAACATAATTAAAGAAGGTTATAAATAAAATCTACCACCGTTGTCCTGTATGTTCTAAGCTCAGTTTTTAGCTGTTAAAATTATATATAAGCTGGCTTTTGCACTATTTCCATAACCTTTGGGAAAGACAACAATTAGTACTGATTATGACTGAGACGTGCTTTTGGTATCAAAGAAAAATGTATGGCTAGATTTTGAAGACTATGGTTCAACCACATGAATGAGTTTATTTCTTAGAAACTGGACATTAACATCTTCACATTGCTGTTACTGAGTATCTTCTTGTGTCTTTCTTTCTTCTTTAGGACTACACTGCTACAATATACCTGCGGCAGCGATGGACAGATCCCCGTCTAGTTTTTCATGGCAACAAGAGCTTCACTCTGGATGCCCGCCTGGTGGAATTCCTCTGGGTACCTGACACATATATAGTGGAGTCCAAAAGGTCTTTTCTGCATGATGTAACAGTGGGGAATCGCCTGATAAGATTATTCTCTAATGGCACTGTCCTGTATGCCTTAAGGTAAGTCAGTGTGCTGTTGGGGACCAATAGATTATTAAATGACATGAGACCAGAATGTATGTAACCTGGTGTATGATTCATGGTTAATAAGAGCTCTGGGATCAAAAGGCCTCTAATTTTTATGTTACTTTATCTCACCCCCACAGCCACCACAGTTACAGCTGTCAGTTATATGTCTCGTCATAATATCTGGGAATCCTAGTTAAGGATCAGGGCCCCCTATTGTGTCATTGTACAGACCAACAGCATCTGATATGGTACTTGACCAGAGAGCTTACAAACATGATACAACAGGTGGACAAAACAATCCGATCTAAGCAGCCAGTGGGAAGACAATAAAACAAAAAATAAATAAATTAAGCATACGTCTACAAGCCTTGGCTTCTTTCTTGCTTGACTGGTGCCCAGCAGGTATGATTTGTAGGGATCAGGGCACATGGTCCTTTAGCTAACACCACCTGTGCCTTATGTTGCTAAATTTCCCATACACCTAGGATCCTTATTTACACCATAAAACTCCTGAACAACCCCGATTAGGCCATGATCAGAATTTGTACCTTAGTGGTACCTCTCTGGTTCTATCAGTCTATTCACTTCCAAAGTCAAAGTTATCTAAAAGACATAACTCTGTGATCTGTTATCTGTTATAAAAATAGAGATTCTACAGCATGCTTTTATTGAAAACCTTCTAAACTCTCTCCCTTTGTAGAATCACAACTACTGTTGCATGTAACATGGACCTGTCAAAATACCCCATGGACACTCAGATGTGTAAACTGCAGCTGGAAAGCTGTAAGTATAACATTCTACAGAAGTCTGAAAATATTTCCCTGACTATTTTAAACCTGTTTATTCATATGTAGGTGTCCATTTCAAATATTTGACTTCAGCTAATGCAGTCCTCTCGAAATGCACTTTTACCCCTGCAAATATGGAAATGTTTCAAGAGGAAAACAACTCATCTCAGTTCCTCAAATGAATAGGATCATTATTACATGGCATAGAATGTACCTGTCACCCCAGTTCCCAGGTGTAGTCCACACCGATTGGGATGACGGTAAATGATATCTTCTCCGAAAGGCTAACAGATATTTCAGTCTTTCACCTAAAGAATTAAAGTGTAGCATCTTTCTCCAGTGTTTAAGTATATTACTTCAGGGACTGTGCTTTGGTACAGCAGGTGTACAATAGGACCCAACTTTTCAAAAGATCATTCAGTTACCACCCATGCCACATGCCATTTGCGCTAGGCAAGCCACGTTTGTGTTTGTGCTCAAGCCTGTCTCTGCCTTGAGTGTACATGTTAAAGCATGCCCTTGAACAAGACAGACACGTGCACTTGTGAAAATTAAAAAGGAGAATGGCTAAGGCAAAATTTGGTTCTAAGAGTATAATGACTGACTTGTTTGTTTTCCATAGTAATAGGTATGTCAGTTACTGATGAATTAAGCAAATGCATTGCAAATAATTTCACTGACCTGTAACAGGCATGAGTCTACATAACTAAGAAAGTCCCACATCTACAGTTAGCTGATATCCTTAATGGAATACTGAGTGCACTGCTTGCACCGTTGCTTCTAATTCTGCCTCAGGAATAAACAATGGACTTTTGTCTTCAATGCACTCAGCCAAGCATCTTTCACATGTGCCAGAGAGGTAGGAGGTGATGTATTAAAGGTTTGTTGCTTGCCGAAGCTAAAGCCTATCCTAACTCAGGAAGGAACAGGACGAGCTTACTCATCTGCACCCTTTGTCACAGTAACATAAATGGTGACAAGCGTGGGGGCCCAATTCTGCAACCTTTGTATGAACAAGGGCTGTCAAAATACACCAGGGACACCCCTTCTGGATCAGGAATTCTGGAGAAGGACTGTTTCTTGGTTATTTAATCTCAGTGGCCAAGATATTGCAAAACTGAACAAGAGACAAATATACAGGTCATCAAATACTAGTTTCCAGAAGAGCTTAGAGCACCAAAAGGTTTTCACAAATACAGTATAGCTTTCAAGAAGGAATATCTCTGCTTCAGAGTCTCAAGAGACCAAATATCCTTTGTGTAGACAGGCCTTTTTCTCAGTCATTGTGCACTTGGACATATCTATAACTGAGGAAGGGAACAGGGAACATGCCTCAGATGCAACAACTCATGAATATCTCAATACAGTTAAGGACTTGCCCAAATAATGCAAGAACAAAAACAGTGGGAGCTGCCACCCAACCTGTAATGGAAGCTCTGTTCATAATTCCCAGCTCCCTGTCTCAAACTGCACATCTCTCATCTGTCTTCCCTGAGTGTTTCTTAAATACAGCATTTGAAACAATGTCTCTGAGCTGCACTTCAAGAGGAACAAGGCACCAGTCCCATCACAAAAAGGCAGACATTAACAGAGCAGTCCTTCTTGCTGCTATACTTCTGAATCCCTGAAAAAAAGCATCAGCCGTCTCCCATTTAATGTCACAAAAGGAACTGTCTGGAATCTCATTATTTAAAGACCAGGTTTGACTTGCCAGTTACTAGAACAGTGTTCCTATGGAAGCGCATATTATTTTCACATTAAAATCATATTAGTTCATCATGATTAACTTTATTACAAAGAATAGCACCTGAAATAATAATGATTGGCCTCTTCTTTTCAAGTGTAGCTGATTTCAGCCTTTTTTAAAAGTAATTGGGCCCTACGTCATGCTCAGTTGCTGTATAATTCCAGTGAAATTACATGCACATTGCCAACTAGAGATTTCATTAGGATAAATGCCTGGAATTAATGCTATTTAAATATATGCCAGATGAATTAACAGTCATCTATCATTTATTATAAAGTTTCCCTCAGTAACCACAATTGTCATTATTACAAAACTGCCAGAAACTTTGAAAAGTCACATGCCTAAGATTTGTACCCTGGGAATCAGGCCCTGTGCACATAATTGAAGAGCACATCAGATGCAAGCACCAGTAATTTGTGTCTAATAGAAAACACAATTAGACAAACAACAGAGTTGAAAGTAGGTTTATTTTTCCTAAAAGGCATGAACTGGCGGCTATCAGCATGAGAGTCACCAGTCATTTTTCATAGCCTGACATTAATTAAAAGAATCAAATTAATGAGAGTAATGGGCCTGTTTACCAAATTAGTGTGACTTGTTTGAGCTGGATGGCTACAAAGCAGCAAATTCAGGTTATTGCAAAAATGGCTTATTTCAATTTGTGGCCATTTAAATTATTTTAACATTTCCTTTAATTATTAAATTATTGTATTGTGACTATTAGACTATTTAAATTAAAACATTTAGCTAATTGCTATTTAAATTCCCAGGGCCAGAATTTTAGCTAGCGTGAGCAGCTATGTTGATGTGCACCATCTTAAGACTTAGTGGGCACTTCTACACGTGACACTATGTCACCCGAATGGCGCATTGTGGTGATGTAGCATCAGCAGGCACAAACTGTGATGCCAATGTTACATCGCCATAGCAACAAACTACCTCACTCTAGTGTGTCACTACAGCAACATAGCTACTAAATATAACTGTGCACCCCCAAGACAGCACAGTAACGGCTGTTACTACTCTGTCATTTAGTACTTCCTAAAGCAAATACTAAATGACAACACAGTAATAACTGCTCCATGGGGTGCACATGTAGACACACCCAGCCCTTGGACCCGCTGTTTCCACGGAAGGGAGCTCGCCTCAAAATCAGTGGGAAAGGGTATATCTATATGGTACAGCCAAAGGCAACACCATGCAGACACCCAGCTTTATGTGCAGTAGCCCTGGAACTGGAAACAGTGTAGCCACATCAGCTCAGCAGGGAACCTGGCCTAATTAGCACTTTTGGAAAGCAGGGCTTATTTCTTCAGGGACAACATTGTGCTAACATAGATATTATACTTCTGGTTCTGGATATAAAATATTCAGAGCTGACTCAGGGCATCTGTGCCAGATATTTACATATACTATGTAGACAGCTATGAGAACATAGCATGACAACATAGGAGAGTAGCTGTATTTATAACTGTTCAGCGATTTCATATACAGTCTCATATGAAATCCTAAAGGAAAAGAAAATCTATCCTAAAATTTGATAATGTTCAAAAAAGGCTTGGTCAAGTTTGATTCCAGATCTCTGGGAAGGGGTAGGTACACCAGTGATTCACTGTTTGTTTTTATCAGCTCATCCACTGTGATGCCATATGGTGGAAGTAATTATGCCTTACAATCATTTCAAATACTTATCTACATGCTTTCAAACAATTTAGGGCTGAGAAAAGTTTCCTCATTTTTAAAAATGTTAAAATATTTTTTTAAAACAGTGAATGCAAATAAAGCAAAATGGGAACTGATACTGCACTGCCTCACATGCAAGTTTGCCATTATCCTATGCAAATTTCAATCTAAATTTGATCCGTTAGAGTAAAAACATGATTACTCCAAACATGTCCATTTTAGCTAACTGTTTAAAGTCATGACACAATTTGTGTCCATCTCATACCCAGAACTCCATAGCTGAACATTTCTGAGTCTCTCCAACAGAGGGCAGTATAACAATAATGCACTGGCTGGTTCATGACAGTAATTAATACATTTTTTATGATCTCTGCAGGGGGATATGATGGAAATGATGTAGTGTTCACTTGGCTGAGGGGGAATGATTCAGTCCGAGGCCTGGAAAATCTCCGTCTGTCTCAATACACTGTGGAACATTATTATACCCTAGTCACAAGGTCCCAGCAGGAAACAGGTAAAGCAGGGAACTGGAACCTCAAGAATGTGTATGTCACAAGTCTCTATCATTTTTTCTTCCTTCTATGCAGCAACATATTTGAGCTGAAAGGACCCAAGCAGTGAACTCTTAGCAGACCTAGCTCTGTTGGAGAACAGACAGTAGCATCTCTTCAACAAGAATAAAGGATGTCAGGTGGCAAAATCAAATTAATTCAGGATGGCCTGTAACAAGTGGAAAATATAGGATTTGTTACCTGCCTGAAATCCAACTGATATAGTTTCACTTTATTGTATCAAACCCAATAGATCCTGCTTCTATGTCTGCAAACTATAACTATTGTACTGGGTATTCCAGATAACATGCACAATAACTGCGATCAAAACTAACATATTGAATGTTCCTTGGTTTCTAAAAGATGCTTCTATGTCGATGAAATGAGGCTGCATTATTTGCAGTCCATTTTATCTCTCAGGTGGCATACCTGCCTGTCTGTATTGTCACATCATATATGCGAAGATGAAGAGAAAAAATCTATCCTCAAGTGACTAGATTTTCAAAATGAACCATGTTCCAGAGTACTGAACAAGAAAGGATCAAATGTTTTCAGCATCCAGGTTTTTGACAATCTGTATTCAGATCTTACCCAGATATGGCCTCACAGTCTTTCTTTAAAAGGGGATTTGTATTTAAGAGTACAAGTATAAAAAACCATGCAAACTGCTACACAGCTTGTGTTCCAATGGTGGTGATCCATGTTTAACAGGAATAATTTTCTGTCTAGAATGTTATACAACACATGGATGCCTATAGACACTAAATAATACATGCATTTTACATTATCATTTGAGGCATGTGTTGCAGCAGTTCTGTGGTACAGCAAATACTTGGAGTCCCTGAGCACAGTTTCCAGACCAGCTGTAACATCAAAGAGTACTTCTGTTTTCTCCAGTTTTAGAACTATACCATATGATGCTTCCATTTCCTGCCAGGCTCATAAGTTCAAACAAGAGCTCAAGTTTCTGTGGGCTGTTATTAAGCCACAGCACCAAATCCCTCACCATCCTTGCTTTTTAATGTAGTAATTTATTGGACCAAGCACGTTAACGTACCCTTAAAGTCATTATTGACCAGATCCTTAGCCAATGCAAATTAATATTGCATCATGGAAAGCCATAGACCTATATCAATTTATACCATGTGAAGAGTTTGTCCATAGATAAACATGTCATTGAGGCCCTATTCATTTATAGGGTTGCTGTCAGATCATGCTTAGCCTGAGACATAGCATTTCTGAGAAATAAAATCTCCACAGCACCAGAACATTAGAAAAATGTCTCTGTCTATCTGTTTATATTTTTCTTTCTTTTTCCTCATTTTTTTAACATTCTGGTGTGTAAATGCCAAATACTTACCCCCTGCAGTGTTTCCAACTCAGATACTACACCCTCAGCTAGCTGCATGACAAACTGACTAAACACAAAGTAGACTGGCCACTATCAAGCAGTTACCAAGCAGCATGAATTGATCCTGTAGGTTTAATATAGCGGAGTAGTACCTGTAGGCCTTCTAGGTCAATGGAAAGTCCACTGTTCCCTTTAGTGAGCAGTGAATCAGACTTTTAACCTGACAACATCCCTGTGAAGTATCAGCTCTTCTCTAGGCTATGGAAGAGCACTAAGAAAGAACAGCTCCAGGTTGAAAGCCTGCAACATGCTGCATGATAACTTAAATACTTTTTCCTGGGGTGTATTGTTAACTTACATTATACATTGTTCTTGTTTAAGAAATGGCTATATACTGATAAATAAAAGATAAGTTGGGCCAGATCACCAGATGAGAGCTTGATCTCTGCTATGTCTGAATCTTTCTCAGACTGGATAGAAATCTTACTTTCCTGGCATTTGTCATCATTTTCCCAATAGGCAATTACCCAAGACTGATTCTACACTTTGAACTACGAAGAAATGTCCTTTACTTCATTTTGGAGACCTACGTCCCTTCTACTCTGCTTGTTGTCTTGTCCTGGGTTTCCTTTTGGATCAGCCTGGATTCAGTTCCTGCAAGAACCTGCATTGGTGAGCTGCTGTTTGTAGAAGGGCACTTCAGGCACAGACAGACAGGTGGCCTCTGATGTTCAGCATAATTACAGCTTTTGTTAGGCTAGCCAGGAAATAAATAGCAATAAGCAAAGAGGGCCTAATCAAGCTTCTGTTCGGATATATGGAGGAGAGCCAGACGAGAAGTATAAGGCACATGGAGGAGTATGTTTTTGTTGTTGAAAGTTTTCCCTTCCTTTCACCAGAGCTCTGAAGGGCCAGGGTTCCATGTTGATACAGAAAACAAGGTACATCCTGCCCTGCCACATCTGGCTTGTCTCTACCTACCAAGATTCCTACACCTGGGTTATCATCACAAGAAGTTACATTAGGTTAGATAGTGCACATGCAACTTCTCCCAGCAAGGGCATTTTTGCAACACCTGGAGATAAGAAGACAAAAGGAGCCCAGTTCCTATTGCAGCCATGCTAAAGCAAGAGAGCAGTGCAAAGGGTCTGGCGATTTATACAAACACATAATCTGTATGTGATTGGGGCCCTTCTCAAGGGTTGATGGCTGCACTTTTTGCTGTGTCAGTCTGTGCAAAGTTCCCAAAACAGGATAAGTAGGTGAAAGATTTGGATCTGTAAGGTGTTCAGCTCTCTGTGCAAATAACGCCACAATGAGCACAAGAATCAAGTCCTTGGTTTCCTGCAGTGCCAATGAAATGCTTTCCCATAGTAGATGAAAATACTGATTTCCCTGCCTTACAGGAGTGACAACTGTGCTGTCAATGACAACTCTGATGATTGGCTCTCGGACCTCACTATCTAAAACTAACTGTTTCATAAAGGCCATTGATGTTTACCTTGGTATCTGCTTCAGTTTTGTTTTTGGTGCCCTGGTGGAATACGCCATTGCTCACTACAGTTCATCACAAAAATGTGCAACCCAACAGCCTCAACAGGTATGAGCTGTCTGAAGGAGTTAGGTCATGCTTGATCAACAAGAGTTGGTACTCAAGAACTGGCAATCCAGTAACAGAATAATAACTGCATGACTGTTTTGTTTTTATTACTTATTTCTATGGTGGGCATAAAACCCAGTTTGTCAGTCACATAACATGAATCCTCATTAGCACCGTTTCCCTTTTATCCTGCAACTGTGAAGCAGATTGTTTCCCAGGAGCTTCCATAAATTAAGAAGGGCTGGGCAAGCTTAGTGTTTGGACAGGAGACCTACAGGTAATGTTTTGGTGCTTCATGACAGTGTGGCATGATTGAGAAGAATGGCACTTGCTGAATGTCTAGATTTCATGAGTAACAGCAGCATCAACCTGGAGCACTGACAGGGATAAAACCTTGAGGTACAATGCACAGGCTTCTGCCACTTTGTCCCTTAGTCAACACCAGTGGTAATCTCTAATTCAGAAAGGGACTTAAGTCACCTGGCCACTACAGCAAAATCATCAGCCTTGAGTTAATGAATGTTGGGCATCTGAGAATGGGATTCACGAAGCCAGCAATCCTAGTGGGGACCTGTCTAAAATAACAAGTAGGAGACCCGGAGGGGAGTGGAATGTCATAAATCTCAGGGGTCTCTACAACATATGTACCTAACTCTGGGCTTCATGGAGTGTTTCCCTAAAGTTAGGCACCTAAGTCAGCATGAAGGAGGAATCAGTCATTTATTTCAAAACCCAGCCAGGAGGGTTTAGGCACCTAAATCCTATATCCATTTGTGAATTTAGTCCTTATTCTGTTGGGAGCAGCCACCAAAGGGGGGAGATGCACTGAGCCAGGGTATACCCAAATCCCACCCTCTAACACTGAATGCATTCTGTAATCTTCCAGGGATCTACAAAGGAATATAGCAAAGAAACTGAAGATGTTAACATCATTGACATCCTCAACAGCTCTGACTCCAGCTATAAGCGGAGCATAAGTTTTACTAGCATTGAGATCTCCAGTGATAATGTCAGCTATGGTGACCTAACCATGAAGACCCACGAGAAGATTAAGTTTGCTTTGAGGAACAAAATGCACAGGATCATCAACTATTTCACTATTCAGAATCCCAGCAATGTTGATCATTACTCAAAATTGTTCTTCCCTTTATTTTTCATGCTGGTCAACGTGTTTTATTGGGCTTATTATCTTTACTTTTAAAAAATGTCATTTTTTGTTCTGACACTGCAAAGATGTAGGAATCCTGTTATTGCTACAGTGTACCTATGGTTTAACCTCACTGGAGTGAACACAAAACAAAATGTTTTGTGGTATTGCCTGTGTTGCTAAAAAGAAGCATGGTAATATGTGTGGTTCCTATTCATTACTGTACAGAAATATCAGTACTTCATCATTTGTGGCTGCTACTATGGTCTCCCCATCACAGTTTTATCAAGTCTCTGTGCTGGGGCCCAGTGCTACAAATGTACTTGCCAATGCAGTGCATCCCAGTGCCTATGCTCTAATCTGTGTGGAAGCTTAAGCAAGAGAGCTGAAGTACTAGGATGATGACAAACCATGACAGTTACTGGAAACATTTGAGATCAGCTTTATTGAAATGCCTAGTTTAGATCCTCAAGAGCATTTTAGATTTTATTTTTATTCTGTGTTTCCAAGAAAAAAAAGTAATAGGGAAACTGTCACTGCTGCCTCAATAGCTCTTTCTGTTCAAGCAACAAAAAGTAAAGGAGCATTAGTGTGATGATTATAGAAAGAAGCAGGTCTGTCATACTGGCTTTCCTTATTTAAGGGTACAAGGCTGTGCTAGAGCACTGAGCTCCAGCAGGTTGGGACAAATATACCTTTATTCCTTGCTGCCCTTTCATTAATCCCAGTCTTATCCCTGAAGGAAAACAAAGCATTTCACAAGTCATAGACCAATGCAGTTCCTTAGTACTTGAGAAATGAGGAATGCCATGTAGCCAATGCATGTCTTTGCTTTGTAACCACCATTTTTGCCCTGCTCCTTGGGCATGTCTACATGTGCCCCCTACAGCGCAGTTATTACTGCACCTCATTGGTACAGCAACATAGCATTGGCAGGCCCAAACTGTGATGCCAACTCTATGTCGTCATAGCAACAAGATACGTCACTGTAGCATGTCACTATAGCAACAGTGTTACATGTAAATGCACCTCTTGAGTTTCATTTCAATACAGGTCTGCTGTGGTCAAGTGTGAGTCAGTGACTTTCCTCTCTAAACAATCCTATTCATCCCACAGAGCAGCTCTGCTTCAGCTTTTGCTGCCCCCAGGCAATCTCTGCCTTACAAATTGTATACAAGGGCATCCAGCTCATCCCTTCTCCCAGCTATGCCGACTCAGGTCTGGGGGGGCCAGGGCCAGGCCCACACAGCAGGAGCTTCCACTCCCACATTCTCCACCCCTTGCTGCCCAGCAGCCACTGAGAGGCACAGGCAGAACTGTGCACCTGGGAGCTACACAGCTGGCAGTGGCAGCTGGGCAAGGGGGGGTGGGGGGGAAGGGGAGCAGAGGCCCCCACAAACAGAGCCCAGTCCTGGCCCCAGTCCCAGAGCCCCCAAACCCAAGCCAGCACAACTGTGGGGGAGGCACTCTCCTGCCCTGCTGCTGCTGTCCACCAGCTCAGCTGGGCTTGGCCTTCTCTGGCAGCCTGCTGGGAGGTGTACAAGAGTGCCCCTAACCTGCCAGCCTTGACCAGTGCAGGCAGCCTCACCCCCAAAGGGCATATGTGTGTTGCGTTTGCTTCCAACCTAACCTAGGGCATTTAGAGCAAAGCATGAAATGTAGATCACTTCTGCCCAAGGCTTTTTGAACATCTGTACCTAGCCTAAAACTGGACCCTACACAGCCTGTTCCCCCCAATATGTGTGCACCAGTCTATTTGGGTGAATCTATTTTGTACATGCCCCCTGTACCCTGGATGTACATACCAAGCTGAGATTGTACCTGAGCCAGTTTGTGTATGCTGACACCACTCATCTGCACTAAAAGTGCTCTTCATGACAAACTGCTTGCACATACAAACTGAAAAGATGGGGAATAAAGAAAGATACCAAGTTCAGTCCACTTTGCAAACTGCAACTTTCTAGTCTTTCTAGTTGCCAAGAAAAGCTTAAACCTAAAGCATAAATGCTCAAAAAGCAAGGAGTAAATGAAAATAACCCAAAATATGTATTTAAAATGTTTGAGAGAATCTGATACATATTTTTGAACTCGTGGGCTGGCAATCCCATTTCTATCCTTGAAGAGAAGGCCAAACAGCACAATAAGTAAATCAGAAAGATGTTTAATCGCAATAAGGATTACTTCTTCCTGCCTTTAAAAAAAATGTTTTCTTGTTCCCTGGAATTGCATTGAATAAGCTCTCAGATGCTTCTATTCTTTGTTTGATTACCTGAACAACAGTCTTTTCCTTTCTTGTTTAGCTTCTACAGTCTACAGACAGTCAATAAAGTTTTTTTTATATTTAATTTTAGTATGACTGTGGAATAAACTCCCTCCAGAGGTGGTGCAGTCACCTACTCTGGAGGTTTTCAAGAGGAGACTAAACAGTCACCTCACTGGGGTCACCTGACCCATTGTCTTCCTGCCTAGAGCGGGGGGGGCTGGACCCGATGATCTGCAAGGTCCCTTCCAGCCCCTAACAATCTATGAATCTTTTCTTGCTTTACTTAATAGGTTTTATAATAACTGAAAAACCTAAATGGCATGATTAAAATAAATATTGTTGGGAGAAATTTAGTTTGGTTGTAACTGAGTAACAAAATTAGAATAAATTGATTGAAATCAGTGGAAGAAGTCTGGGGGTATGTCTACATGTGATATTAATGCAATGAAATAAACTCTGGTGTAGTTCACACTTGGGTGCATGTGTAAATGCTGCTAGCCTGGAGCTGCTCCCTCCCAGGTCAACATGCTGCAGAGGCAGCCAGCTGGGCAACCAGCCCCAGTCACCATCTACACATGCATTGCAATGGAGTAATTAAGGCTTACAGTGGAGTTAATTAGCTTACTCTTACCTAGTAGGGGAGCACATGTAGACAGTGATGTTTTACTAGGAAGCTAACTAGTCACCTCCTCAGTGAAGCGTCTCGTGTAGATGCACCCTGGGTTAACAATACTGTCTTTAAGAACAACGTTTGGATTCCTGTTTCATAATAGAGAAACTTGAAGTCAAATTAAAGTGCCACCCTTAACAACCACTCATAATTCCTTCATCTCAACAATATTTAAAGTCAGGAAACTGAAATAAAACAAAGCAGCAGATAAAAACTTTGTACTGTAAAACCACCTCAGATTGACTGCTGAAAGTTAGTCATGCATTATTGCTGAGCTAACTCTCTCTTGAATATTTTACTTTGGAAGCCAGACATATTTCACAGGTAATTCGGTTTGGAAAGTGGGCTAGATATTTCTGTAAATCAGACCATTGCCTTCAATGTCCCAAGCTGCCTATTGTTCATGTTGGAAATACCTTGAGAAGAGCCATCTTGGTAATAGTTTTGTGCTTGCTATTCATTCCAGTTTTAGGTGAAAAGAAAAAGTGGTGAGGAGTATGATTTTGTTATTTTAAATAACTGTATATTTTTAATAGTCTCTTGGTACTGCTGATTATGATGATGATATTGACAAATTGATTTAGACTTTTTATCTGTAGCAAGTTACAAGGTTTTGTGACTCATATATGGGAACTTGAAGTGAGATTTGGGGGATTCTTTAGGTAAATGGTTGACTGAAAAAAAAGGGGAAGGGACTTGATGGTCTAAATAGCTTCCTAATTCTAATCTTACTTCGGCCCATCTGCCAATCCCTAAATATAGGCCAGATCATGTTCCCCAAGTACAGGACAGGACTCCCCTACCTAAATTGTACTGTCTTTGTGAAGGAGAAAGGGATCAGGTGGGCTCTGGGGCAGCAATCCTACTGCAGTGACCACACAAGGATTATGTATATTGTGTGGACCTGTCTGGAGGCAGGAGGAGGGACCTGTTACACTGAGTGTTCAACCATGCATTGGGCAGTTCTGAGAAGAAAGCACCTCACTCTGCAGCCCCATGGAATTCACCTGGAAAAGCCTGTATTATGTTTCCTACAGAGCTATTTTGCAATAAGGAGCCTCCTTTAAGGATCCTCATGAACAATATGCAGCTTGAGACATTGTAGGTAATAGTTTGATTTATAGAAATATCTAAGGGTGGTCAAGATGTTTTTGATAGGACAGAAATGAGCTCAGCAAGAAGATCATTAGGGACTGCTTCTGATTTTTTCACTCCTCTGGTCTTGCCTCAGGAAGTGTGATCCAGGCATAGGGACCCAACTTTTGGAATTATCTCTGCTGGTTTTTATGCTTTTGTCTCTAGATATGTAAATACACTGCTCTACAGAGCAGGTTGTGATAATGCAAAGATCTCTTTGTTTAACTCTTTCATATTTAGATAGCACCTGCGGGTATTCTGGTTGAGTGCTGCTCTAGGAGTTTAGACTGCCAGGAGTCAGCACAACAAGCTTTGGCCACCAGCTGGTCCTGATTACTGGAGTGGGCCTAGCTGCCAGTGTCCTAATTACCCCCCAGCTGGCATGGCTTGTTTCTCCCAGTGCTGTCCCCCTTCTCCACTCCCTCCCCTCTCCCCCAGCCCCCCACCTTGCCTTTTGTATTCTAATTTCTCTCTCCACTTTCTACAGGCCCTTTTACAGCACCTGATCAAATGAATCCAGGTGGTTTCTCTATGTATGTATCTTACTTAGTTAGTCTATAAAGGTGC